CGAGTATCGCGTAAATCCGAAACGCAAATAAAATGAAATAAAAGAAAAAAAAAAAGAAAAAATAGAATAAAAGAGAGGAGAAAAAAGGAAAAAAGAAGCACGACTGCACACGGAGATACGACGTACACACACGTCGAGTTGGCTTTCACCGTACACGATTCGAGAGTATCCTATGCCAGAATTTAAAAATCTTTGCAAACCCGAACACGATTTTGGGGGTGCAGTCGACCGTTCATCGTTCACAGATTCGATCAAAAGAGGTCGAGCGCGACGAGGGTTTCGTGGTCAATTGTGTCACCCTCTCTAAAACAACCGGACCAGAATCTCGCTCGCACATTAATGTTTCTTTTTCCGTAAAAAGTCAGTTGCTTCGTAAAAAGAATTTTTACGCTCTCGCGCATCGTCCTTCCACGGTGTTCGGTCAAATTGAAAGTCAACGGTATTCCCGTGGAAGAACCGTTCGCGAGGCGATTCAAAGAGCACAGGTGGGCTTTAAATATGACCGTCGAAGAACGTACGAAAAACGGGGTGCGAAAGCAAGGGAGGACCGACCGAACATGTAGCGGACCGAGAGCGTGTGTGGCCCGAAGGGTAGCAGCGTCGGGAGTATGAGGCGACTGGTAGATGGAGGATACTGGACCGGAGAAAAAGGAAGAGACGCGTCGCGAGAAAGAGAGCGAGAGTAAGAGGGGTGGTGTCGGTAAGGGAAAGAAGAAAAAGAGGCCGTGAACGAGTATGCGTGAGAGGATATACGCGCGGACGTATGTGTGCCGAGGGTAGAGAGAAAGAGGAAGAAGAAAAAGAGAGAAGGCGAAAGGGAAGGGAAGGGAAGGGAAGAGAAGAGAAGAGAAGAGAAGAGAAGAGAAGAGAAGAGAAGAGAAGAGAAGAAGAGAGCAGGAAAGAAAGAGGAGGAGGCGAGGAAGGACGTAAAACAAAGTAACGACGAAATGCACTTCCCCCTTTACGCCGTGCCTGGCTCTCGCCCGGAGGGAAACGTCGAACGAAACGTTAAAAACTGGGAAGAGGAATGAGAGCGCGGGGGTGCTAGGTGGTGGCTCGTCGGTCGGGAGGGTCGGTGGGCCCCGTGGAGGCGCAAGGCGGAGGGTTGAGGGTGGGTTTGCTGTGGCAGCCGGGCCACCCTGGAAGGGTGCCGGGAGGTTATGACAGCCGAGGTATTGAGCGGATCCTTCGTTAAAAAAACGAGAAGCACCGTGCTGAGGCGCGTGGAACAGAGACGGAGATGAGAAGAGAGAGCGAGAAGGCAAGAGGGAGAAAACGAAAGCGAGCGAGGGACTGAGAGTGAGCGGGAAAGAAAGACGAAAAAGGAGAAAGAGAAAGAGGAGCAGCAGTTGGGGGAGATGGAGAGAGAGTGCACGACTGCCGTTGCCGCCGCCGCCGCTGCCGCCGCCGCCGCCGCCGCCGCCACCGTCGCCGCTGTTGCTGCTGCTGCCGCTAGAACCGCCGGTGGAGGTGGTCCAAGGGGTGAGACCAAGTAACCGAATCCAACGCACCCTTGCCTCGCGCCCATTGCCTCCCCCCGACAGAGAAAAAACCGAGTGCACCATCTCCCCCCACTTCTCTTCCTTCTTCTCCTACTCCACCATCTCCATCTCCACCTCCTCATCCTCATCCTCGTCCTCATCCTCGTCGTCCTCATCCTCCTTCTCGACCGCCCCTGACTGCTCTTCCTGAAGCAGTCCTACCCTCCCTCCTTTGCCGCGACTATCTTCCTCCCTCGTCGTCGTCGAGTTTCTTCCGCCACGAAAAAAAATACTCCGACTTCGAATGACGTTGCGCGCCGGCCTCCGATCGAATACGATGCAACGCGAATCTTTCCGCTTTGACGAAACGCTCCGCGCTCTTCCTTCCTCGCGCGTCCACCGCTTTCCGATTACGTCTATTAATCCTCGCTATTACTAGCAACCACCAGAACCCTCCGTCCTTCTGACAAACCGCCGACATATTTTAATTACCAACCCGTCTATCCGAAAATTCCAGTTGCTCCGCGTATCGATCTCGCCGATCTTTCCACCATTTCCTTCCGATCGATACACCTTCTATTCCATTTCTCCTACCAAATTGTCCATTAACTATACGAAATCCTATCGATCGAACGAGAATGGCGTGTCTGGAATCGCGACGTGTCCTATTCGCAACAAAGCGAACGATGATCAACGGCCGACCGATTTGTAAGCGCCGTAGAGGTTCAGACGGTTATTAGAAAGTACGTTGGAATCGCGATTACGTCGGTTCGAAATCGACGGGACCACGCTGATGGCAAGACCATTGGCGGCGGAGATGTAGAAAAGAAAACACGGATGGAAACGTCCGCGTAGCTGTACTTAAAGAAGAGAGAGAGAGAGAGAGAGAGAGAGAGAGAAGGACAACGAGAGAAGGATAGGGTGGAAGATGGGACAGGGGAATCGAGACCGTTTGTTCGTCGACGGAAATGCAGGCTGGACACGGAACGACGGAAAACGAAGCGAGTGTGTGCGAAGCACTCCCCGGATTCGCGTAATGGGAAAATCGATTAGGAACCGAGCGAGTAAGGTGACCGTCCAAGATGTACGGATACACCACGAAGAGTTGTTAGCTCTTCTACATCCGGGGAATTAAACGAGTCGTGGAAAAAGAATTTTTGGAATTCAATCGAATAGGATAAAATTCCGTCACGACGCCGCTCTTCGGCAAGCCGATATACTTTGACGAAACTCGAAGCGACGATCGCGAATCGCGATTGACGCGATTGCGAATTTGAAACGACTGGAAAAGAAAGGAAAGAAAAAAAAAAATGGAAGAAGAAAAGAAAAAAAATTCGACAAAGAAATACTTAATATGACAAAACTCGAGCATCTTAGAACTGCGACCACTTCGAGGTACTCTGAGAGTCTAGTCACTTTTCCCTCGCCCAGCATGCCTGCGAAGGTTCAATGACATCGGTAGAAGCTCCCGTACACGTATACAGAGGCGCATCGAGCTGAAAGTGGAACGCGTAGCAAAAGCGTTCGCTTTTTTTTTCCGCTTTTCTTTTTTCTTTTTTCTTCTCTTCGAACGATTGGGAACGGTTGACGGGAGATCGAGAGATTATGGGAAAATGCCAGGGAAATTCCCTTAATTACTCGAATACCGCTGCCTAAATAATCCCGGCGAAATCCCCAGTTCTTCCGCGAGTAGTAAATCCGTGAAAGTTTAATGACGCTAGCGAAAACTTGGATGCATCCTCGCACGACCCTCGGAAAATGTGGAACAAACGTAGTAGACCCGCGGAACAGAAAGTCCCGTGTGTTTCATCGATATTGTTCGTATAGGCTTACCTAGCACGAGTATCCAATCGATCTTCCCAGCGTCAGTGGTATCGCCGTACTAGCCCACGGCTAACTTCTATTCATCGAACGGCGTCCATGCGCGAGTGGAATATCAACAGCGAGAATCAAACGCTTTTAACGAACGCTACCCGCTCCGATTTTGATCATCTACACCGTATGCCGTATGGACGAAATACTATCGATCTTCCTCCTCTTGTCGAGTAGATTAAGATCGATTCCAACCCTGTCCGTGCTAACACGAGCCTCGATACCTCGCGTTTATAGCAAAATTGTCAACCAACGAGGATACGTTACTTCGAGGCAACACCGGGCTCGTCGATCTTTCTGTTATTTCGACAAAGTATGTACACGGTGGAACGAGACGCGAGACGCGAGTATCGCTTAAGAACGAAAGCGTTTACCATGTACACCTGTGCAACCTCGACCACCGCATTAAGGTTTAAACGAGATCTTCCATACTTTTGCGTCGGAAGACTCGAGTCGTGTTTCCAAGTCACCTACTATTCTACGAGACACGTCTGTGCCTCCTCCGTGCACGTGTTTGCGAATGTACGCGCGAGCGCGCGCGCGTGGGTGTGCGTGTGTGCGCGTATGTGTGTATGCCTGTGTGTACGCGCGTGTGCATGCATACGTAGAGAGACGCGGACACGCCGACCGCTACCCCGTTCGTCCGCGTCGTCTGTTAGCACGTGTAACCGAGAGTTACTTCAAAGTTTCTCGGAGCCGAGAGCGAATGGAAAGAAAGGGAAAAGGGCGCGAGGCGGAAGAATGCAGCGGCGTGGGTAAGAGGTAGGGGGGAAATAGAGGAGCAAATTAGAAGATGTTTGATTTTCGGCGACAAAGAGGAAGTTAGTGCGTCAGTAGGGCGGGTGTATCTCGACGACAAAGGCGATGGAGCGAAGGAGTTTCGCGATGAACGTAAGAGAATCAAGGGGCTGGCAAGGTAGGACACGGGCGAAAGGGGGCGAGGATAGAGGGAACCGAGAAGGAAGGAGGTGAACGGTGGACGAGAGGGGAATAGGGCAAGTAGAAAGGACGAGGGTGTCCGCGGGGGCGGATGAAAGGACGCTTACCAGCTACTACCTATTGATCGCCAATTCTTTTTCTCTTGTTGCATATTAGGCGCACTCTGCCTCCTCTCTCTTTCTCTCGGCGGTGCGCTCTCCCACCCCCTTGCTGGCGTAGAACGCGCGAATCCGCCCCTATAGCTACCCTCCGACCACCCTGCGCGCCTCTTCCTCTTCCTCTTTCTCCTGCCCCTCACCACCCTCCATACTCCTACCCTTCCTGCCCATATCGCGTCACCGCGCGAGAGTGCGAGCCTCCCCTACTACCTTCCTACCTACACCATCGGCCCTGACGTTCTTCTTAACGGCAATGTTTCATTTCGAGTAGCGGCACCCTTTCCGTTTCGGGGTGGGGCCAACACCCATCGCTTTTTATACACGCAGGTGTCGCTCGATCCTTCCCCGCCGAGGTGTGTGTTCGTCCGGTTTATCGGATGAAAGATCGCGATCGCGATCGGTATCCAACGGCGTATCTCGCGCGCGCGTATACCCCCACGAGATCGACCATCTCCATCGATCCATCGATCCGATCGATAGCGTTTATTCCGCGATGCTCGATGTTATCACGCGGAAAAACTAACGAATCCATTCCGAATTTGTGTTACAGGTAACGTCCGATCGAGTGATCCGCTCGAGAGGAGGTCGGACGAAAGGATCGGAGGGGTGAGGGTGAAAGGCAAAATCGGTCGAAGCGAAAGAAAAGCAAAAGAGGAAGTAAAAGGCAGGACCCGCCGGCGGCGACAGACTGCACTCTCGCACCGTTCAGGGCGCAAGCGTGCACGTATGTTGTGCGTTTCCGTGCCCTAACCCTGTCTCAACACGAGAGAGTAGTCGTTTCTCGGCGTTCTCATCCCTACTCCACCAATATCGCCGCCGTTGCCGCCACCGTTATCGCCACCGCCACCGCCGCCGTTACCGCTACCGTTACCGCTGCCGCTGCCGCCACCGACACCGTCACCGACGCTGCTGCTGCTGCTATCGGCTCACCATCCCTCCAACGCTCGCGAAGAAGCACCGCCAGAGCCGACGTAACGACGACGACGACGACGACGACGACGACGACCACAACAACAACAACAACAACAACAACGAAGACGAAGACGAAAACGAAGACACGGACGAAGACGAGGACGACGACGACAACGACGACGACAAAGATTAGGAGGAGAAGAAAGACGAAATCGAGGGCGATAAATAGCAGCACGACGACGATCGCGACCGTAAACGCGACGGTGACCATCGGTCTTCCACCATCGGTTCTCGACGAGTTTGTCCGGTTCCGGCGCACGTTACGTTACGCGTGACGTTGTATCCAACGCGCACGTTAAAGCGGCAGTGTGCACACGCGTTATCTTAACCCCTCGCGTCCTCCTCACGCACGCCTCGCGTTCACGGCGCGCGTTCAACCACGAAGGAACATCGGTCGCGATCGTCGCGGAAAAAGTACGACGAACGGAATTGAGAGAAGCGGAAAACCGAGAGAATCGAGAAAATTGAGAAAACCGGGAAAGCAAAGGCAGAGAACGAAAAGGGGGAAAGAGGAGAAAGAGGGGGAGGAGGAGGGGGAGGA